GTGCCTGCCGACAAGATGAATTGGCGTTTGACGAGCAGCGTGTGTAGCAATCGCTGCAGGTCCAACACAATGGACATCAGTCGGAAATTCGCAGTCTAATCACCAGCCACACCGTGTACAAACCGTCGTAGTAGCTACCGCGCATGATTGTTGTTGCCGCTGACGCTTCGTGTTCACATCGGTTAGGGAATGCAGCGGCCAGTGTAGCAACGGTATCGCTCCAAACGGGCAGCATGTATGACTGACGTTCGGCGCCCATGTAGCGTTAGCATCGTACAGCGTGCGGACCGGCGTGGCGACAGCGACTTGTCGGCGTTAGCATCTTATGTGTGGACCAGCGTGACGACAGCATGGGAATCGAGCAGCATTTCCACCAGAGATTTCGGTGGTGTCAGGCAGCGTGCAATGGTAGTGACATCGGTCAGTGTCAGGCGGCGGGTGGGTTAGCAGAGATGGGTGGGGGCAGTCGGTATGAACCCGAGTGTTCACAAGAAAGGAAATTGCGGAATGAGACTCGTTGGGGCTTGGCGCGCGCTCGACGCCCCCGCACGCGAGTTTGAATCGTTGACCCTCCAAAGCGGCTTGTTTCGCGCCAAAACATTGCGAGCTTCAATGTTGAAGTCACGTTTTCGCCGATGTCCTCGGTTTGACCAATCAAATAGCATTCCGATGATTCTAGCAGTCTGATTGGCTAGCAAAGTGATCTTTAATATACGCGTATGGCTACCTATTTCGATTATGGGTAGTACCTATTTTTGCTATGAGGACCAATTACCTTGCAGTAGTTATACCCGACAGCGTATGCTCCTTTGTCGGGTCCGTTTTGACGTAGAAAAGCGTACCTGAGGAAATGTAAGCCAGTAGTTCTGTGGCTGTGCGCTTCAAGACCATCCTCAAAAAAGGTAATCCTAACTTTGATCCTGGAGGTAGTAGTTAGATCTCTACCACAGCATGTCGTTCGCCAATTTAAGTAGTAGTATGCTCTTGTGTTTTTGAAATGACATCTCCAGTTAACTTTTTAGGTACGTTTTGGTTGGAATTGGCCATTGCTATTTTTTCGTACAATGATCTTTCGAACGGTCTGATTGGTCGGAATCACGTTCGGCACTGTTTAATTTCCAAAAAAAATGCGTTATGCAGAGTATCGTGAACGCATAAAAAGACGCCAAGGACAGTAAACAACGCCACGTGGTGCAGGCATCATCAGCTACAAGACACAAGCGTTTGCTGGTGGCGCAGCAACACACATGGTGCGCCGTTGTCGTCATCATGACGTCCCCCTTGGTGTCGATCATCAACCTGTCGATGACCGCCATCTCGGGGCCGGACTGGGCAAGGAATACGAGTGTGGCGGCGGCTCCTCTGATATCGCCGCCACACTCGTATTCTTCGCCCAGTTCGAAATCATCGCCTCTTCCACGATGCGTGCACCGCTATGTGGTCGCCGAGGCGCACGTCGGTAGTCGCTGTAGGAGGCAAGTGTGCGACCCGATTTTGGAAGGCAGGCCCTCACATTCGTAGTGCTGAGCGTTGATTCCTCAGTTGCAGAAGTCAAGTAGCAAGTAGGTACCCTGTATGGCGAAGTGGAAATGCACCGGCGTTGTGGGAACAATCTGAGTAGAGCGGTGATCTGTGTGGTGCTGTGTTACCACGCGCTCTGGTATAGTAAATATCGTTTTGAGTGTTGAAACTATTGTCCTGTGTGCTGCTCTGGATCGATCATACGACAATTTGACTATCATACTCTGCCCTCATGTCACTGTATATGAACCAAATTGTTTATTTTTATTATTATTCGAGCCACAGCTCGTACAGGTTGCCTTTGCCTCATTCAGTTTAGGTATTTACGCAAATAATACCGTTCTTCCTCATCCCATTTCTCTAGCCGATGGTAGGGTTCGCTTGGAGGTAGCACATCATATGTCAAACCGACAGGTTGCTCTTGCTCCCACAATGGCGATCGATAGTAGGCACACTTGCTGCACGTGCATGGCTCTCGTATATCCATATATTCGAACTGATCCGCGAGAATGTCAATTTCGCTCATCGCAATCCATAAGTTATTAACTTCGCTGAATGCGTTCTCCAAGATTTTACCTTCATTCCAAGCTCGAGCTCTCTGTTCGGTGCTTCGAACGTCTGCTAGCTGGATGTCGACTTCAATTTTGACATCAAGCATCTCTGCTTTTTTGACAAGAAATGTTTTCAGATATTGCAGTCGGTCACGTATCATTTCGGTAGTTATCTAAACGTTGTAGTAACGAAAAGGTGTTAGTACCATCATAACATATACGAATTTAAGACTGGTCTTTCGTACCTCTGAAAGCTCCATACACAGCTGCAGCCAGCGTACCATCCATACAAAGTGATGTCTGTCGTAGCCGCTGTATGGATCCTCGGAATAGTTGATGTTCATAACGTACATTTCCTTTACCGGCAACATCTCAATAAAGTCATCAACGTCTTTGGTTGAGTGGAATACATTCTCAAAAACCTGCAATTAAAAAACGTTTGCATGTTAGCAGTTGTATCCATGACACCCTCAGTTTGAATGTTGACGCAGTACTCGATCTTTTGCTGGTATAAACACGGGAAGCAACGAGTCAAAGTTGAGTCTGCGGTGGCAGCTGAAATGAACAAGCGCGTCTTTTATAACGATCGGTTTGTAAATCTGCTCTCCATTGGACGCTGCAACTCCTGCAGTGAAATGTAGCTGCAAGACGTGTATGTCAGTAAGAAAACTAGATTCGCTATTAGCACCACACTAGTTACCTCTGCCTTGTCGAGGCGCCAATCCATTCAGTGAATTCCAAGTTGCTAGTGCCAAGTAGATAGCTGTTTTGGAAATGAAAAATGCCAGAATGAGAGAACATCATCACCTGAGTCTCCTAACCGCAAGTTGCAGTTCAGAGACACTTCGTGGTGCAGTCTGCAGCAAGGAAGGAAGTTCGTATCAAGTAGCTTCTTTACGTTGCAGTTGGAACCAGCAAATACTAAGAGTAGTACAATCGTACCTGCCTAGTATTAGATATGCAGGTACACCACTGCAAGTGGTATGGATTCGAAAAAGTGTGTGTTTGGTGAGAATCTAGAAAACAAACAAACTTGGAGCTGTACTTATCGAAAGGTCGCTCAAAACAATCTAGAAGAGTATGACGTGAAAGAGCGAGCTAGTAAGTTAAAAATGAAGTTCATCTAGAATCAGCATGTAATGGCCGGTAACCCTCATCTTGAACATCTTTGCGTGGATCAAACAGACTACGTCAAGAATGTTGGCAACTGCGTGCAGTGGCAATGAACGTTTAAGCTTCAATGATGCAGCTGTCACCACTTCCACGCGCGGGGAGAGGGAGCAGAACCAAAGGCAGCGTTCACGACCGACATGTAGTAGCAGTGACAATACGGTCACTAGCAGCCGCGTCGCGATGGATTCCACGCAGCAGTTGTAGCAGCTGTTGAGTCGGAGATAGCGGCGTCGTCGTCATGTCTCCCAGTTTGCTGTCGATCACCAAGCTGTCGATGGCTGTCGTCTCCGGCCCTTTGGTAGCAAGCACCTCGTTGCTGTGTCTCCTCCGATATCGTCGCCACACTCGTTTTCATCGCACTGGTAGCAGTACTCGCCTCCTCCGCATATGCACGCACCACCACTACGTGATCGTTTACCAGTAAACTAGCAAATCATCGCACAAGATTGTTGTTGCCGTAGCCGTTTCGCGTTCACATCGGTTACGGAATGCAGCGACCAGTGTAGCAACGGTATCGCTCCAAACGGGCAGCATGTATGACTGACGTTCGGTGCCCATGTAGCGTTAGCATCGTACAGCGTGCGGACCGGCGTGGCGACAGCGACTTGTCGGCGTTAGCATCTTATGTGTGGACCAGCGTGACGACAGCATGGGAATCGAGCAGCATTTCCACCAGAGATTTCGGTGGTGTCAGGCAGCGTGCAATGGTAGTGACATCGGTCAGTGTCAGGCGGCGGGTGGGTTAGCAGAGATGGGTGGGGGCAGTCGGTATGAACCCGAGTGTTCACAAGAAAGGAAATTGCGGAATGAGACTCGTTGGGGCTTGGCGCGCGCTCGACGCCCCCGCACGCGAGTTTGAATCGTTGACCCTCCAAAGCGGCTTGTTTCGCGCCAAAACATTGCGAGCTTCAATGTTGAAGTCACGTTTTCGCCGGTGTCCTCGGTTTGACCAATCAAATAGCATTCCGATGATTCCAGCAGTCTGATTGGCTAGCAAAGTGATCTTTAATATACGCGTATGGCTACCTATTTCGATTATGGGTAGTACCTATTTTTGCTATGAGGACCAATTACCTTGCAGTAGTTATACCCGACAGCATATGCTCCTTTGTCGGATCCGTTTTGACGTAGAAAAGCGTACCTGAGGAAATGTAAGCCAGTAGCTTTGTGCCTGTACGCTTCAAAACCACATCCTCAAAAAAGGTAATCCTAACTTTGATCCTGGCGGTAGTAGTTAGATCTCTACCACAGCATGTCGTTCGCCAATTTGTGTAGTATTATGCTCTGGGTTTTACAATGACATCAGAAATAGTTTTTAGGCATCGTTTGCTACAATTGCTCATTATGTACTTTGGTTAGGCAAGTTGATTCCTCCAATCGAGGAAAGTCACCACTTTTATATCATCATGGAACTTAGTCCTCGTGGAACGGCACGCATTAGCGAGATATTTGAGCATTTGACTGTTTAAACTCACTCAATGTTTGAATATGTATGTGTATTTTAGCTGTTTGACCGCGTGAAATCTCGGGAAAATGCGTCTCCGGAAGATGAAGTGAAGACTATCATACGCATGTTGGCATCGTTTGCTCAGTATTTGCACTTTCACCGTATTTCGACTACCACATTTACTTCGAAGTATCATGTTTCGTACTAATATATTACAAAACCTACACTTTTACAGCAAACAATGTCAAACTAGAGAATATCCTGTTTGAGATGTTGGATAACGGCGGACAGCTCAAACTTTGCAAATTATGGGGCACTTTCAGCTGCTCTATCACTATAACGGTGGTAAGTAGTGGAACACCGCTGCATATTGAAGCACACATAGTTTTCTGAGCAAAAAATGCGTAGTTTTCTGAGAAATCTACTGCCACCGTTGGGCAATAGCTGGTAATAGCTATTGCACAACGGTGGTTGTAGATTTCTCAGAGCACCTTCTCATAATTTTTCTTGTAAGGCCTCATTGCTCGCCCACACAAACCAAAAGTCATCGTCGAAGCCGAAGCTGCAAGTGGTCGATACTATGCCACCTCTAACGCGGCGCAAAAAGAACGCTAGGGCTTGAAATCGACGCCTGGATGGGTCTTTTTGGCGCAAACGTTTACAGCACGAGAAAGTCGACCCTGGAAGCAGCGACGAAGAAGACGTTGGTGGCATCCAGTATCGCAACCGACAAGGCGGGCTATTCGCAACGCGGAACGAACGCAACGCAGAAATCGAATACGAGATCGAAAAGCTATATGCTAAGAGATGGATCAACGACTCCACCTTCTATCTGGTACAATGGGTAGGTTATAACGAGCTCACGTGGGAGCCGGTTACCAATCTACCGTGGCAAGCTGTTGCAGCATTCGAGCGAGAAGTGATTGCATCAGTGTGGCTCTACCAGTCTACACGGGGGCGACGACGCAAACTTCGACGTGAAAGCCCAACTCGCCGCAGTCGTCGCCTCAATCCACGAGATTGAGCAGGGGTTCTCGCAACTTAAGTTCTGGATTATTGAGTGTTGTGCCATGGATAGACAACTGCATAGGAGGATGACTGGATGTAGCGGAGCTGAGCGTGCCAAGTCGTAAGATGTGATCTAGTATCCTAAACTTCCGGAATTCAGCGAGAAAGTTGCTAAGCGTACGATTTCTTTTTGTATCAGATTCTATGCAGTATTGACGCAGGTACCAGAATTCTACGTATTTCTGGATAGGCAGTTTCCTACGATTTAGCCCACTCTAATTTTCGTGTCAGATACAAGACCTCATTCCTCTGGCACCGTTCGATTGGAATTCAAGCGCTCCAGTCGACTCGTAAAATGGCGCCCAGTCCAAGTTCCAAGATGAAGATGTCAATTACTGCGATCGTTGTGCACTTGTCTATTTGGTGTCGTTCGTGTCAGCCGACCATAGTTCCCGTGGTCGACGATGGCACCTCGGACGAGTTCAATGTGGCCAACCGCAGCTTCCGAGCTGGAGATGATCATATCTGGACTCCTCTGGAGAAACCCGACGGTGTCAATGGAGCTCTGGAGCTTTATTCGCACAATATGACGCCTACCAAGTGCGATGACGACGGAACCTGCTGCTTCTTCATCAAAACTGTCGATGAGGTCAATTCTAGCCATGTATACAACATGTATACTCACCTCCCAAGAGATCAGTCGTCAACAGCTCGGCCGAGGTACAATCCACAAGAACTGAATCGAGGTCCCATCATGGAGCACGGGAAGTATGGTCGGCTGACACGAACGACACCAAATAGACAAGTC